AGTAGTAGAAAAATTAGAGAAAGCTGATGTACCATGCGGCTATATATATAATATTAAAGATATTGTTGAAGATGAGCATGTTCAGGAGCGTGATTTATTTGAAACAGTTCATGTCGCTAACAAGGATAATGAAGGATGGGATTTAAAGGTATGTATGTTACAGAACAATTTATGATGTGCGTGATATTAAATCAAAATTTAATATTAATCATCTAGATCCCCTCAATGTCTCCAAAACTAACCTCTACACCTGGTAAAACAAGATGGGCTGGCCCAAATTTGGGCCAACATAATCGAGAAGTTCTATTTGATATATTAGGATTAGCCGAGGATGATGTTAAAAAATTGCAAAAGGAAGGAATCGTTGGCAAAACATAATGATAAAATAAAGTAATTACATATCCGTGATACTTTCGTTATCATTAAAGTCATCTTTAATACTTAAGAGTTGCCATTCAATAAATTTTTGCATTTGTATAATTCTGTATTGTAAACGTATAAAATATTAGCGGACCATCTAGCCGGGATAAAATCACTGCCAAAAAATTTTCAGAAAATACGTAATATGCAATAGTATTTAACTTCAGGATTGTAGTCTTATATAATATAAAATCACGTACCGTATTTGCGCGTAATGGCGGGCCGGGGCGTTAATTTGAAATTCATCTTTTTTAAAAAATTATATACCTAAAATATCGCCCATGCGCGTCCAGAAATAACGTACACTATCTTTATGTAACTTAATATAAATTCTTTTTATAATATAAGATATTGTAAAAAAAAAATTTTTTTACTCAAAATAAGGTGTATGCGCGCTTCAAATAACGCGTAGGACTTGAAATAATGCACAAATGGGCGTTATTACGCGCAATTACGGTAAACTATTACTTAGAAAGTAATTGATTTGATACTAATGTGATTCAGATCAATAAGTAATGAAGATTATGCGAAATTTTTTCTTTTACTTCAGAAATAATTCATAATTATGAACGTATATGAAAAAAGACTTAAGTGAATTACTAGCAGCTAGCATAATATCATTCCATTCCAGAAGTTTTTTCTATGATCATTATTTTTTATACATGCAGACAATAGTTTATAAAATTTATACAGATAGCTCGAAGACTTTGATCGAACTAATTTAACAGCTTAAATATAATGGTCTCTATGATAAATACAGTACACTTAATCCTCGTTAATATCAACATCATTAATATCAACCTAAATTATAAAATAAACATTAAAATTCCATTATCTATATCAAATTTAATACTTTGCAGAAACCTTTGATTTTGCTAAATACATTTATTATATAATTATATATTATATAATAGAAATATAATATTATATAACTAGCTTGTTAACATCTTAAGTTTTGTTAAGATATTGGTAATATTATTTAATTTTTAAGCAGATTACTATTATATTATTAAAATACTTATTTTATTAGATTGTTACTAGATAATTAAAAGGTAATATTAGGCTATATTCACACTATAATTATACTATAAACATATAATATTAATCATGTTAATAATGACTTAACACAGAATTACAAAAAAAAATTTTAAAATATATATTATAATAATATTTTTAACATAACGATATGTTTAACATATGTTTATCATATGATAGCTTTAGTTATATCGTAATAGTTATATGACAAACATAACTTAACAAATTTAAAATTTCTGATCCCTCATTAATATTACTATCAATATGAATATAAAAGTGATCCAAATGAGTTGATATTAACTAATTTTTTATACCAAATCTTCTAAATGTAATATCCAATGATAAAGAATTAAAATACAATAATAAATAATTATTCTTTAATCTTTTATTATGCATACCAAGTTTTCTTAATGTCATCATAATTTTGGGGTTTTTTTTCTAAATTGTATGAATGAAAAAAATTAATCTCATCACAAA